ATCTCGGGACTCCAGGATCATGACCTGAGCCAAAGGCAGTCGCTTAACCAACTGAGCCACCCAGGCGCCCCCTAATGTTAAACTTTAAAAGACTAAGGATGTATAGTGTAATTGCCAGTATAATCATTAAAATAAATAGTAAATGAATACATAACTAAAACAGAAAAAAATGAATAATAAAAAGCAAGACAAGGAAAAAAGAGCAGTAGATAAAGAATAGATGAAATAAACAGAAAACAAATAGTGATATGATTGATTTTAACGCAAATATTATCACCAAAGACGTTAATGTAAAAGATAAAGATTGCCAGCCAGACTACAGAATAAACCCAACTATATGTTGCTTATAGGAGACACATTAAGTATATTCAGAAAGTTAAGAGCAAAAGAATGGGAAACGATCACTTACAAAAAGAAAGTATGCAGTTATCAAAATAAATTAGTGGTTACATAGTTTATCTTCCTGATATTCACCAAGCTTTACATTTTTGATTTACATACTTTTTCGTATTAATATTTACTATAGTAAAAAATTTATATAAAAATACCTTGTGACCTTTCACTTTATCCCTTTTAATACATGTTTAATATATGTATATTTAATGCAAATATATTTATCCTCAAATCCATAAGTAAAACTGTCATGTTATGGAACTACACCATGCTCATCTTAAATCTCGGATCTCAGGCTCTCTCTTTAATATAGTTTTTCAAGTTTGAGAAGGATGACCCCAGGGGGAAGCCGAGGTAAAGGAAAGACAAAGTTGCTCAGTAACACAGGAGATGTAAATTACCCATGAAACTGGCAGGCACTTGTTTACTTACTTCCTTTGTTCTATCTTCACTTGCATTCTAAGGTTCAGAAAGGTAGGCCTTCATGGGTGAAGAGTATACATGTCCCACCAACTCCCCTACATAAAATTTCCCAGAGGAAAAGCAGAAACAAGATTACCCAGTCTTGTTGCTATTCTCCCTGAGAGGAGGTCTCAAATTCTCCTTTGCTACTGTCTTTTCCCCACTTAGATTGGTTTTTAGTGAAATCCTTATACACAAAAGGTGTACTCTGCAATTACAGGGAAAATATCCCTCCTGGTTTAAGTAACTCTTTTGAAACTCTAAAAACCTGAAGATTATTTGCAAATGATATAATCCGATAAAGGGTTAATATCTGAAATATAGAAATAATTTCTATATTATTTGAATTTCTCCTGCAACTCCACATCAAAAAACCCCATATAATCTGATTAAAAATGAGCAGAGGACCTGAAGGGATATTTTTCCAAAGAAGATATATAAATAGTCAACAGATACATGAAAAGATGCTAAACATCATTAATCATCAGGGAAATGCAAGTCAAAACCACAAAGAGATATCACCCCACACCTGTCAGAATGGCCAGAATCAAAAGGCAAGAAATAACAAGTGTTGGTCAGGATACAGAGGAAAAGGAACCCTTGTATACTGCTGGTGCAGCCACTGTGGAAAATAGTACGGAGGTTCCTCAAGGAATTAAAAATAGAATTACCATATGATCCAGTAATTCCACTACTGGATATTTATCCAAAGAAAATAAAAAATACTAGTAGGAAAAGATATGTGCACCCTACGTATATTGAAGCATTATTTATAATAGCCAAGATATGAAAGCAACCCAAGTGTCCATCCATAGACGACAGGATAAAGAAGATGTGGGATGGACAGAGGGACGGGGACACACACACACACGAATATTACTCAGCCATGAAAAAGAATGAGATCTGTCCATTTCCAACAACATGGGTAGATCTAGAGGGTATAATGCTAAATAAAATAAGTCAGAGAAAGACAAATACCATACGGTTTCACCCATATGTGTAATTTAAGAAACAAAACAAGCCAAGAAAAGAAAAGATAAGAAATAGAGCCTTAAATACAGAGAACTGGTGGTTGGCAGAAGGGAGGTGGGGGGGATGGGTGAAACAGATAAAGGAGATTAAGAGTACACTTATTGTGATGAGCACTGAGTAATGTATAGAACTGCTGAATCATTATATGAGAAAAGCTGAAGAGAATTATTCAAGAACCTGAAATTCTTTAAAGTAAGAGTGTATATTACTAAGAATTTACCCACAAGAGAGGTAATTTGAAAATCCCATAAACTGCAAACATGAAGCCAAGAGAAGTGAATGAAAGGTATCATAATGCCAATTTTCTTATGGTAAATGTAAAAAGATTAGCAGAATAAGACCAAGGCAATAAACCTGAAGAAAGGCTATTAAGGTAACATTAGCAGACACTTAAACTGAGATACCATCTAAGAGCCACAGTGCGTCATTTCCCAAATCTGATTCTCTGACACTCTGCCTTCTAGTACACTGGTTTTTTCTTTTTGTACTGGCCGCGACCTTCCTCAACTTAGTACCAGATACAACCACTTCACAGTCTCAAAAGGGCACAGTCCAAATGAATTCTCCACTGCTACAGAAGCAACAGTCACAGAAAGCACTGTGACTGAGGAGGACTGCGAGACAGTGACTATATCAAATAAGTGCTGATCCAGCTCCAGTAACTATGAAAACTAACCTGCCACCCCACCATTTTCCAAAAGACAATGAGTTTTAGAACAAGTCTACTTCTGCAGCATGGAGGATTTATTGTTTGTAGTAAACTAGTGATATATTTATGAATAGGGTTTTCTTAGCTGAGGTGGCACTTTTTTAGCAACACACCTGTTCTGGGGTGAGTGGAGGGAAAATTGACTTCCTAATGTTTAAAATTTTGTTTTTAATTAAAAAAATATCTTGTGATGCTATTGGATGGCTACCATCCTCTTACCCCTCCTCCTCCAGAGCATTATCAACCAACATGTGCTGGCTCATCCCTGTTGCTTTACTCATACCCTTCCAATTTCAAAGACTCTTGCCTTAAGACTAAATTTCTGTTTACTCTGATTTTTCTTTCTTGTTCCTGGGATAAAATAGCCATCTCATATGGGTACAACGCACCCCAAACCTTACTCTGATTTTTCACAAAAATCAGCACCCTCAACTCTTCAGATTCTTAACAAGAGTGCTGAAATAGACCAGACAGGAAGACTTTGTGTAACTAAGTTGCACATTATGGGGCTTCTAAGATATTAATTAAAATTAAGTGGAGGGAAGTTCTCATTGCCAACTGTTTTCCAAACCTGATATGTAATCAGAATCATTTGAGGAGCATTTTAAAAATATAGATTTTCAGGCATCACAATTGAGATTTCATTTGCAAAAGAAGGTCTGGGACAACTAAAATTTGTATTTTTTACGGGACAGCTTTGTGTTATTCATTGTAAAAAAGAAATAAAGCAATATAGAACAATGTGAAAAAGATAAAAATCACCCCAAATCCCATCACTCAGAAACAACTATCATTAACATTTAGTAATATCATTATAGATATGAATAACCCATCTTTATAAATAACAGAGATGGAAGGAGAGGTAACTGTGGCTAAGAGTTGAGCCCTGTATTAAGAGCTTTATGTGGGTTAACTGTAAACCATAAATGAGGGACTATCAATCTCATTTTACAGATGAACTCAGAAAGGTCTGTAACCTTCCCAGGGCCACACTAGCAATATGAATCAAGAATTCAGATTCTTAACCATTTTACAGTAGTTTTACAGAATTGGAATGAATGTTACTCATGCTATTTTAAAGATTTAACATAAGTTAGATTTACTTGAATGTATAGGAAAAAAGGGAAATTAAGTGAATCTAAATGAACTTTGAAAGTCAGTGAAGCATTTATGACTCCTCTCCTCTAAATGATCCTTCTAAAGACAAGAAAAAGACTATGAAAAATATAAAGCAATTGGAGGCCCTTTTTTAAAACCACGTATTTCAATTTTAGATAGTTCCTATTAACTTCTTGCTGTGAGAAATATGGAAATCAGCACGTATATACTCTCCCCCACTCCAACCTTCAGCAACCACCACCCTGATCAGTCAGCAGCTATCAACATGAAGGCAAGACCCACCACTAGCAAAAACATTATGACTCACTGAAAGCTCAGATGATGGTTAGCATTTTTTAGCAATAAAGTATGTTTTAGTAAGGTAAATTAAGGTATGTACATTGTTTCTTAAGACATAATGCTATTGCATCCTTAACACACTACACTACAGTGTAAACATAACTTTTATATGCATGGGGAAACCAAAAATTCATC